CCTTTTGGATACCATAATAGTTTTAACTTTGTTTTAGCTTCCTTATTTTATTTAAATGAAAATAGATTGATGTGTACATGGACAAATTTAAGGCAGTGCACAATGCCTAGTTTGTGCAATTCTAGGATATTTTTTTAAGTGAAAACAGATCGATGTGTACATGGACACAGAGTTTCTGCAATTCTTTGACTTTTTATTTTGGTTTTGTGAAATGGCCATCTTGAAATTGTGCCTTCCTAGCATCGATCTTGGCATAAAAAAAAAAAAAAAAAAAAAAAAAAAAAACCAAGAAACAAGGGACACCCAATTGTAAACTTTCCCCGTGAAATTTTCCAGTTATTGGATTTTGTAAAGAAATGTGGAGAGGCGGTGATAAAACAAGTTTTTCATTGTGACGACAATGCCCCAATCATCAATCAATTAACGGACGGCGAAATTTGTAGTATGGTTCTAAATCCAGAATATACCGCTTCCAATAGTGAAGAAAGTGACAGAGAGGTTATTGAAAATGAAAAAATTTTCAATTGACAAGTTAGTCGGTATTCTCAACACAGCAATTACAGGACTTGAACAGTGGAACTTTGTAACTGAACAAGAAATTATGTCTGTTTATAGAATTAAAGAGAAAGTATTAGCAAAAATTGAAGCAACTTAAACAACTTACATTGAAAGAAATGTTTAATAAAGTAAACAAATAAATATTAAGCTTTTTTTGTAAATTTTGATACCCTTTAGATCATAATTGCTCTTTATTTCATAAATTACGGTTTCATATTTTTAATTGTATAATTTCTGCATGCCATCTTACCAGATTTAAATTGATGATCTATAATCCGAAAAAACCCCTAATCCGGAATCGCCGGAGTCCCGACAAGTCTGGATTATGGACTTTGTACTGTATATTATATTTATATATAGCATTTTTCTAATATAGGTATTTTGGCATAAAATCGGGCTTTTTCTGAAATGGCATGCCAATTTTTTTCCATATTTCGATTCTATGACACAAATTATGCCAAACTGCCAAGTTTTGTAAAAATTGCACAAATAGTTTTTTAAAAATTAGCTTTCAAAATTTTAGCTCCTCAATGTTAATTAAATTTGATATATATTTATTAATATCTCTTTTTATAAAACTTACTGATTCTTCCTTTCAGATTTCAAAATTAGGTTAATTTCAAATCAAATTTGACAATTTTTCATGATTATTTCAAAATTTGTATTTTTAAATAATTTTTATAATTTTCAAAAGAAATTTTCATTTTTATAACCTATAAGATTTTTGCCATCACTTTAAAGTAGATGTATATCTAAGCATACCTGCAAACAATTAGTTTTTTTTATTAAAAATTTCCTAAGATATATGTAAATTCGCATCTTGGCATATTTTGAAATTTGGCATATTTATTATAAGAGATAATAATAAAAATGTGTTGTATGCATTTTGTTAAAATTTATTTTTTTGTTTTGCCCCTTTTATTTGTTTGAAAGTATGAACAATGACTTCCCCCCCTCCGACTCAAAAAGAAAAGAAAGCAAAAGAAAATAGGTTGCTATAAATTAAGAAGTTTGCCAAGTGAATTATTCTTAGAGCAAACTGAAAAAAATTCGGCAAGATAAATTTTTAAATTTCTCACCAAAAATTACAAATTTTAATATCTAGGCATATTTTGAACCATAGAATCGAAATATGGGAAAAATTGGCATATTAATGCAGAAAAAGTCCGATTTTGTGTCAAAATACTCATGTTAGAACAATGCTAATATATATACTATGTCGCTCTTTCGAGACATGAAAAATGCAGTTTGAATTTCGTCAATCGAACCAGTAGAACGGGAGATATAGAAATATGCCCCCTTTATTTTCTTTCTTTGTGAGTGTGCAGTGTACTTAAATTAACATTATAATGCATGTTTCAAGTAACTGAACTATTAATATGATTCTGATTGTAAAATATGAGGTGGGTCTGAAAAGTTCAATGATTGGTCTTGGAAAATAAAAGAAACAAAAGTTACAAACAAAACAGCTTTACTGGTCTTCAAAGCAATTAACTACAGCACACTTCTGACACTGGTTGTAAAGCTGTTGGTAACTATTAGCAAACACTTCTTGCGGAATCACTCAAAACATCATAGTCGCACATTGTTGGATATCTGCAATATCTGGTAAGCATAAGCCTTTCATCAGTAATTTAAGGCAAGGAAGGAAAAAGAAATCAACTTGCATCAAATCTAAAGAATAAGATGATGTTGAAGAACAGTCACCTTAGTTGAGCACATGGATCACAATGTGCGGACAGGCATTGTCGTAAATTTCACTATCCACTCCAGTACAGTTTTAGCCAAACCTGCCTGATACGTTCCAGCAGCCATTTCAAAACTCCATGTTGACAGTTTGACCCTTGGGCAGAAATTTATGATGGATCAAACCTTTGTCATTGAAAAAGTTTTTGCTGTTGCATTTGCTAGCTCATTACCTTTTGTACCAACATGGCTAGTGACCCAGCAGTAAAGAATCTCCTACACATAGTTTTTAATTTTTGATGCAAACTTAAAATGTCCACCAGTCAAAGATTATGGATGCCAATAAAATTAACTAAAGCTCTTACAGCACTTAATGAGTCAGAATAAATTATACTTTGAGATTAATATAAGAGCAGTCAATTCAGCGCTAAATATAGAACAGGCATCACACAATCATTTGCCATCAGTATGGTATCTTATTAAGGGCAATGCTCCTACATGACCAGCTGATTTTGACCCATCTGTATGTATGGGAATAAAAGCATTATATTCATCCCTATATTCTAAAAAAAAGTTGCCTGTATTTTTTCTCATTAGTGTTCCTGTTATCAAGATGTTGAAACACATCCAGAAGCTCAATTTGTGGGTTACCCCATAGTGGGATTTCTAGATGCTTTACTGGCTGGACCTTCCCATCAAATAAGCAGTAATTTTCCAGCAATGATCCACATCTTCAAAAAATTGGAGAATGTTAAGAGGATGTGTAGAGAAAAGATGTTCGTTACAGTCATCAATCTTACAGATCTGGAGAGGACTATTAGATTTTAAATTAATAATGAAATACTGATGAAGAGACATCCATTCACATCTTAACTCAAGTTCATAACAATCAACATACAGGCTTAGATATGATAGATGTTCTGAATTCTCTAAAACATAGATAGATGTTCTGAATTCTCCAAAACAAATTCTCAGATCCTGATGATGAATAGGATCTAGTTTTAACAAAGTTGATGACCATGCAGATCCATAAACAACTGAGCAGTAGAGCGAAAGAGCACTCTATAAATACGAGGCAAACAGCAATGTTCTGAGATCAGGACCAAAGAAACTGATAACATTAGTGTAATAAACTACACAGAAAGCAGCAGTATATAAAACAATACAATGAAATTATGTGTACTTGCTGTTATTACTTACCAAATTATGTTAAAGTATGCACTATTACCTGAAGAATGTACTGTATCCTTCTGCACAACATATATCATATACTTTGATAGTCATCACTATACTTTAGCTATCCTACGTGGCATCTGGTTTGGTTTAGTTTTCTTTGGCATACAATGGCTATTTGCTTAAGGGAAGAGCTGCTTTCGTGGAAGATTTTCTAAGGGAACTAGCTTGGATTCCCATTACACATGAGGAGAACAATGAAAATGACTGTGCAGCCAGCGGGTTTGCCTGGAATCGAACTACCAATGCTGACAAGCTTTACTGTTGGCTGCTGGTAGGTGCCATCTTTCAAATAAAACAGTCTTAGTTCATATTTGAAAGATTCATCATTTTACTACTATAATCTGGTATAAAACAATACTGATAGTCATCCCTATTTTTCATTCATGCAATCATTGTCCTACTATCGCTGAACATAGAAAGAAATTCGTCTCTATTGTTGACAGATCGTTTTCATAATTCAAAAAGGTGACGAAGCAGGAGCAACAGGTAACAAATCTTAAATAAAAAGATATTGTACTGGAAAATCTTCAATAGATGGTAGAATTCAGGTGCTCTCATCTTAATGGCACTATTCACAATTAGCAAATAGATAAATCTCATTTTCACCAATTTCTTTTGCTAGGGGCCAGGGTGATACAAGAAAGTGGTGAGTCACCCTGATATAAGAAATGTCAAAGAGGGAACAGTCAAGGCCAAACTAGATTATTCATTCTTACAACCAAAGACAAATACAGGAATATCCAACAAATTCCAAAGAGGTACCGTCCACCAATACTTAGACTTGTATTTAATTGAATTCATATGCTATCACATGCATTCTAGAGGAGAAATGTTTTCTTGCTATACTAAATATTGTTTCTAATTCTATGCCTGTTGTTTAGCCTTATATGAGTATCTTTCTTTTAGTGTATGATTCATATGATTCTTTTTCTTTTTAGTTTTAATTATTGTTAATTTTTACTTTAGTGCTGCATATTTTATTCAGTCATTTAAGAAATGGTAAATACAACTATTTTTTTCTGCTTGTTTTTTATTTCATCAGCTTTTTTTTAAAACATTTTTTGGAATAAAACTAAAAGAAATTTTAAAAAGAAAAATACCAATAGAAATTTAGTAAAAATGAGACAAAAAATTTTAATAAAAAAAAAGTTTGGCGGAAAAAGTGCCTAGCATCAAGCCAAATGCGTGAGAAAAGAAATAAACCAAAATATGCCAATATGGCACTGAAAATGTGCAGTATGGGCTTTAAAATAAAAGTATTATCTTTAGTTTATACTGCCTATATTTTATTAAATAACTATATACTGAACAAACTTTCTAATCCTAAGATAACATTTAAAGTGTTGTTGTTGTTACTTATCTCACTTATCTGAAAGTAACATCAGAACAAGCCCACAATAAACATTGTGGCAAGAAGAGCAAGACTGCACTCCTCAGTTCCATCTCCAATTTTGATATAGAGCACCCAAGGTGGTATGTTCAAAGTAAATTATAATTATTAATTAAAAATTTCCAAGCACCTGAATATCATCAAGGACTGAAGAAATATCTTGCTTCAGAAGATTCCTGATAATTCCTTTGCTGCCTGTCATGCTGTAAACCTGTAAAATATTCCATATATAACATGTAGAAATTTCTTCAAAATTGAAAGCAAAGCAATAGAAGCCTTTACTTTTTACATACTTAATTAAAATAAATTAGAAATTCTATATCAGAGAAATAAAATATTAAACCAAAATAAAACTCATAAATTTTCAGTACTTTCTAAATATCTGCACCACAGCTTTCAACCCATAATAAAACTGATGTTTTTATTGGCAAATTTTCTGCTATACATGGAACAATAACTAGTGCATGGCTGTGCGTACCACACACATTGGAGTGAGCATGAATTTATATATTTTAAATCCAACTAGGCTCACCATAATATTTTTTGCTCAAACAAGGACATTGTTTTTTAAAAACCGGGATAACTTTGAGAAAAAACTCATAATTGGAAATAAAACCTAGTAGAATTATTTTATGATTAAAAAGACTAAAAGTTTAAAGAAATTTTTAATAATTAAATTGAAGTTAGTATTTACCACTAGTGTAAATTTTCTTTGAAAATTCTTTATTTTAAATGATATCAAAATTTAGTTTATTCTTAATTTAACAGCTTAGTAAAGCTTGCAGTGTAATATGTACCTATGATTAAAAAAGCTAATAAAGAAGTTTTTTTTTTTTTTTAAAAAAAAAAAAAGATGATTTAAAAGAAATTTTTAATAATTCAGTTAGAGTACATATTTATCACTAGTGTAGACTTTCTTTGAAAATTTTTTGTTATTTTCAATGGCATTGAAATTAATTTATTCAGTATTTATTATATACTATTGTCATTCTCAATCTCTTTAATGCCATATTTTTGAAGAAATGCAATACTCTGAACAGCTGGTAGATCCTAGTTCAGGATGGGTCAAACTTCAAGAAGATGAGAGCCGCATGATAGGTTTTATGAGCGTTCGAGAGCCGCAAGTCCAAATTTATATCGTTTAAAAAATAATGAAACAGGTTTTTGAGTATAAAGAAACTTTTGAAATAAATTAATGAATATGTGATTAACATGATTATATATAAATATGAATAAATACATCTTATATCTACTGTATTTCGTTTAGAGAAGTTAAGTCCGAAGAAAATAAAAAAATGTAACTCTTGTACATTGGGCAACAGAGGTTTTTCTCTTCAGATAGAGAAACCAAACATTTTCTTTTAATTTCCTTTACACCTCTCTGCTAATAATTACTGTTTTTTTTTTTTTTTTTTTTTTTTTTTTTTTTTTTTTTGTAGTAGAAGTAAAATGAATGTAAAATGGATCAGAAGCATATTCATTGGTCTATAATAACATAAAAAACATTGAGTAAATTACAAATAATTATTTTAAAAAAAAACTGAGCTCATAAGCAGTCTTTTAGAGAGGAAAAATTAAATGATACAAGTCAACACGCACTGCAGAGAAACTATTAACTAAGAAAGAATATTTATTTAAAAATAAGCTATTAACTTATTTAGGTTTTTGCTTTAAAAGTGATTTTGTTTCTCCACACAATTAATATAAGGACCAATATATTCAGATCATTTGAATCTTTGGATCCTAAGAAAACTAACATTTTCCCCAAAAAACTTTGGAATAACTATTTTTACTGATGCCCAGTACAGAAGAATTCACAAAAAAAACGAAAAAAAGAATATGATAACAATTTCAGTGGTATTTGAATAATCAGTGTCTCTCATGGCAGAAATTCTTGACCCAGAGACTCCCTGACTTATGCAGTATTCCAGCGTGGCATCCCACGAAATCTGCCAGAATGTTTTAATAATCAGTTCACTGCACATCATTGAAAATTCTCGAAACTATCTCTCGAATCATCCCGGTAATTTTTTTCATAGATAATGGAGTTCATGCACATCATTGAAAATTCTCAAAACTGTCTCTAGAATCGTCCTGATAATTTTGGACATAGATAACAAAGTTTATGCGCATCATTGAAAATTCTCAAAACTATCTCTCGAATCCTCCCGATAATTTTGGACATAGATAACAAAGTTTATGCGCATCATTGAAAATTCTCAAAACTATCTCTCGAATCCTCCCGATAATTTTGGACATAGATAACGAAGTTCATGCGTATCATTGAAAATTCTTGAAGATATCTCTCGAGTTGTCCCGATAATTATGGATATAGATAATGAAGTTCATACGCATCATTGAAAATTTTCGAAACCACCTCTTGAATCGTTACGATAATTCTGGAAATATAACCTATAGCTAATAAATCTAGTAGCTCATGTCAGGCTATATAAACGCTTCGTTAGGCACATATTCCATCTGATTGCCAACCAAACTCTTCAACCAAGCTATTTAACTGAGTTGTTTATCAGATACATGGCAAATCATAACTAATGTTACAGAAAGAAAATGTATCTCTTACTACTATAATGAATTTATTTTGCAAATGCAGATATAACATGAACACGTAACTCTTCACATTTCTATGGACATGCACAGATGTTCGATGTGGAGACCTTTTGTAACACAGTAGACGTCTGCACAATAGTTTTGTTCCTAAACTCTTGCCAAATAGGTGAATGGATCCACCGTATTCTAACTGCTGGACCCACCTTGCCATTCATTTTGAATTTCTAAGTAAAATAACTCCAAAGAAAGTTTAAAATAAATTATTATCAGCCTAAAGGTTACATAGTACAACTTTCCATTGGGTTACCTAACCTGTGTACAGAAAATAAATCTCAAATGGAGTCTGTAGGCAGAGGATACTTTAGAAAATAAAAGATCAGACTTTAAAAGTAAATGTGCATGGAAGCAAAATTTCACATTATTGCCTGAAATTCGTTCAAGCAGTGGACCACTGTACAACTTTTCATTTCGCTACTAAGCTTTGGACATGTCAGACATACATGATGATTGAAAATTAGAATGACGAAAAAAAAATCGACAGATTAAAAGAAGTGTTATGCTGGGCTCAGAGCCAGGGCATTCGGTGCAATTGCAGAGCATCAGTACTAAGGGGTGAAGAATTTTAGATATGCCAGGCAGCAAAATGCCTCCAATTTAGTGCAATTTCTAGTGGTGACTTTAACCTAGGGCAGCAAAATTTCTTTAACCTAATATGTGGTAGAAAGAAGAAGGTCATCAAACAACAAATAGAATGATATGAGAAAATATCACAAGCTAAAGAGATTTCATCAATATCAATATGCAGATTTTGACAGAAACTTTGGAGAAGAGATATTTGCGTTCTGTTGATCCCTCACTGCTTGATGCAACATTACTGATATGAAGATTTGATGGTTTCAGTGAAAGATCTCTACCTGGAATAACAATATTTGATAAAATGGAAAATAAACATTTTGACTAAAATTTAAATCATTGTCAAATCAGTGATTCTTCCCATGACTCCCAGCACGCACAACCATTGGTGAAATAAATTACGATTTCTGCTTAGCATTACCAAGGAATTATTAAGAAAGATAGGAGTTTCATGTGGAAAAAGTATTCATTAAGCATATCATTGTGAATGGTTACAAAATATGTGAAGCAATTTCATAAAAATGCCTGACATGCTTAGGGATAGGAAATTAATTTTGAAAGAGTTCTGCAGACAATGAGATAAGTCTCCTAACCAAGTAAGAGGCTGAAGGTTCACTCCATCAAAAATAAAATCCTTGTAAAATTCCTCCGCAGACCAAAAGAGCTCTGTATGGATTACAAGGCGTAATAGGTTTCTTCAGCAGTTACTCATGCCATTCAAGGACTGAATAAAAGTAGTACCCTACAACGAATAGCAAATCTTCCAGGTTGGTCACAACTGTTCTGAACAATGGGATCACACAGGAATGTAAGCAGATACTGCCCGAAATAAAATTAACTTGAGAGAAAAAATATTGGGGAGAGTAATTAAATAAAAATATTAGCACGGAGTTTTAGAATAACCTTGTTTTAGTGTATTCTGATGACCATTACCTGTTCAAAAAGTAACATAACCTGAATAATAATTAAAAGAATTGGAATTATTCATAATTTTATGCATTTGTTGATCTGACGATAAGCCACCAGTGGAGAGTTTGAAATCTATAAAATTTTTGTATACATAATATCACAAATTAAATTAGCGATTAATAAAGAAATGGGATTGTAATAGGACTGTGGATTTTGCCAAATGATGAAAAAGAAAGCGTAACTTGCACGTAACTCCATTTTCTCGCCAACTCTATTCTTACTCACCAAGTGGCAGATAGTGTGCAAATTACGGTGACCATGCAAGCAAGGCTACAGATTGCAGGAAAGGAGGGAGGGAATCTACTTCTTTATGTAGTTTTTTCTTTACGTGGTGTGTGTGCCAGAGCTCTTCTCATTTTTCGTTGTTATTATTCATCTTTTTTTTAAGTTTTGCTTTATTTTTTCTTTATTCTTATATATTGATATTTCCTTACCATTTCAGTTCATTATTATTATTTATTATATTTAATTATATTTCTGTTTTACCATTTCATTGTAATATTTAATATAGTTAATTAAATATAGTTTTTGGTAATTTTCTGTTAGCCAGGCACAAATGTCGCCAATTGTGAACCAAATGCGAGCCAAGTCGCCAAGCGAAGTGAATGACAAAACAGTCAACGGAATAAAAGTCGAAAACGTTCAACTATAAACAAATATTTATTAATAGTAAGCAAAACAAGTTTAACTATAAACAAATATTAATGAATTGTAAACAAAACAGTTTTACCCAAAAAGAATGCTTATAATTATTGGCTTTTCCAGAATATGATGATGTTCTTGATAATTTGCTCAAATGGATCATTTACTCCTCGTCTCCACATAAATTCAGCGAGGTGCAACTCCAAATGATGGCACGAAATTCCCTGATGTTTTTTATTTTTCCATTTGACACTGCCTCAGAGTCTGATTTTCTGAGTGTTGACACCACTGTAGAGATCAACAAAATTGTACCTGTGATTGACTTGCTGTAGATGAATGTAATGCTGTAGACCAGCTTCTTTCCATTTTAGTTGCGCAGTAGCCCTTCCAGGAATCAGA